GGATAACAACAAGAAAATCAGAGGTCTACATAAGAAATGAACAATATATACAATCAACAGGGTTCATGAAGTGCATACAAGATTAGTAGCCAAGAACTAAGACCACCCTCCCTAGGCCTTCCATCCGCATTGTTAGAGGTGAAGAAGCTCCCTTCTCTTTACCACAGAGCAATCTACCTCACCATCATTCTCTGCCTTGATAACGATCTCATTTTTTCATTAATCCCTACATGATCATTAATCCTTCATTAATCATTAATTGATAGCAGCCACCTCAAAGTGCCGAGATTCCCTCCCCTCCCTCATTCTCTAGTCTCATTTTCAGCTCTCCAGTTACCTTTCCCGACACCTTCTTCCACCTGCAACCTAAATACTGTAACTTCTGAAATTCAGTAGCATTATTTTCAAATAAATTGTATTCATTATCAGTACATTTATACCGTTGTTATTTATAGATTTGCTTCATATTGAATAACTCCAATATTTGTGGCTTAAAACAAAAATAATTATTATAGTATAGTTTTCACGATTTGGACACGACGTGAAGCTTGATGAGATAGTTTTGGCAAGGAGTCCCTCATGAGGTGGCAGTCTTTTGTCAGCAGTGCTATCTATACTCACCAAACGCTTGACTCAGGATGAAGAATCCACTTCCAACACAGTTCGCTCACACTCAGGCAACTGGTGCTGACTCTTAGGAAATGGCCTCTTCCTCGCCGCAAGGACTTCTCCCCTGGTTGGCCTGGGAGCCCTTCATGGCCACAATCCACCACAAGAGCCCGTGTCCTACGAGAGCAAGGCCGAAGCTACAGAACATTTCTTGACCTTGCCTCACAAGTTATATGCCATCACCTGGAAGCAGTCCATTGGTCACTGTGATGGTTAATCTTTGTCTGTCAATTTGATTAGCTTGAGGGCTGCCCGGGGGACTACACTTCCTGGTGTGTCTGGGTGGATCATGTGGGCATGACCGTGGGTCTGTGTCTGGTCCCTCACCCCTCCTGTCTGGCTCTTCCTCTGCTCTGTATTTCTCGGCTGCCATGAACTAAGCAGCTTCGCTTCACTCCATCTTGTGGCATGACGCCCCTGCTTTGGAGCCAGTAAACCATGGACTGAATTGCCTGAAATCAGGAGCCACATTAAATCTCTCCTCCTTTAAGCTGGAGGTGTCAGGTATTTTGTCCCAGCAATGTAAAGCTCATCAATAAAGTCAGTGCTGATTTTCTCAGTGAAAAGACTAAAAAGAGGCTTACACACGGTCATGGCTGTCATCTTGACAATTGGCTATGGCACTTCTATTTTTAAAAACCATTCCCTGAACAATCCCTTCATCTTTTTGCTCTCAGCAAAACCTGACTTTTCCGAGTCAGGGGACGTGCTACCAGCCTTCCACTTAGAAACACTGTTCCTTTCGTAGGTCTCAGATCTTTGAACATAGAGATGAGTAGGTGTCATCCTTGCCCCTCATTGCACTGTGACACACTTCTCCACCTCATCCCTGAAAGTGCCTCTCGTGTCATCAGATGACGTCACATCAGCATGCTCCTGCCATGTCCTGACTTTCTCTGTCCTCGACTTCTCGCTGTTATTTGGGATAGTATATCGAATGAGTGAGCAGAGAGAATGAGGTGCGATGGTCAGAGGGTAACTCTGAGTGCTCCCTTGTTTCCTGCCTAGTATTCGTGGCTCTGACTTTGTAAACAGTTCTCATTGTACTGGAACTGGCATCAGGTGTGGTTGCATTTGTTGCTAATGACGTAGTTTATGGCTATGGCAACAAAGCTGAAAGGGTGTGGACAATGGTTGACATGATCAGTGGTGGAGAGAGAAGTTCAAGGAATTGAGAGGTCTGAGTGTGAGCACAGTGGTTTACTTCTGTGCCCATAGCTCTAGTAATTAAGACAATCCATTGATCTATCACTATCCAGTGTCCCTCACCCATTAATTAAGCTTCAATTGCAAAACAAATCTTTGTGATCATTCCCTTTCAGACATTCTTGACTCCTTTGCCTCTTTTTGGATTGATTGTACTTACTTAAAATATAAGAATCCTGGTGAAAATCTAATTCTGTGCCTATGCCAAACCTCCACTGAACAAGTGAAAATGACAAGAGAAAAACATATAATTATGCTGAAAGATCTCACTTTCAGTTTATGAATAAATCCTCATATATACTCAGAATGCTACTAGGATATCATATTCAATGTGTTAGTCAGCTGTCCATCACTGTGACAAAATACCAGAGACAATCCATTAAAAAGGATTTAAATAATAAATAAATAAGTAAATAGACTTAATTTTGGCTCATGGTTTCAGTGGTTTCGGTTAATGGTCAGTTGACACCATAGTTCCTGGTCCTATGGTTGGCAGAACATCATAGCAGAAGTGTAAGCAGAGCAGAGCAAAGCTGCCCATCTCATGGCTGACAGGAAGCAAAGAGAGAGGAAGGGGCAGGGGCCCCAGTGATCTACTTACTCCTCTGAGGTCCCACCTCCTACAGGTTCTATCACTTCTGAGTAATGCCACCATGGGGGACACTATGAGTCCCAAGACCATGCACTTTCCCGTTCTCTTTCACAACTTTTTCACATTTTCACTTTCTCAGATACCCCAAACTTTCTGTTTTTACACTCCTACTTTATTCAGAAAATTAAAGCAATCAGAAGACAACTTCCATAGACTTCCACCACCACATTTATCAACCTGCCAGTGTCTGTCTGGCTCCATACCTGTTCCTACACATGATCCTACTACCCATGAAAACCCTTCCTGATGTGCACTCAATCTCTTCCCCAAGGGTGGGTTCAAGGACATCATTCTTCATCGCCAGCACCTCTCACCTCTCCCTCATTTCAATATTTCACTCTCCATGGGATCATTTCGTTCAAATAAAATTAAGATGTAGCTGTCCTCCCCCCTGCCGTGTGTGTGTGTGTGTGTGTGTGTGTGTGTGTGTGTGTGTGTATAGAAGAAGGTTAGGAATTGAATTCAGGGCCTTGTGCATGACAGGCAAGTGCTCTACCACTGAACTGCACTATATTTTCTTTCTTGTTATTCACTATGAAAGCAGTCCCATCAAATTTTTCCTCACAACTCCAGGGAAACCACTCTGAAAATGTGGACAGCCCTACCACCTCACCCAGTCCTCACCTGCAACACTTGGTGTGGTTGATGACTCTCTACTCCTCTTTTTACACTTTCATTTAAAATTGGTCAAGTGATTCGTTTCATTCTTCTTTTGACATGAAATGAAAAGAACGATGTGAATCCATTTCCAGACTTCTAAACACTTCGCATCTTCCTTCATTTCTCCATACAACTTGGAATGTGTAAAACTACTCCCATTTTTTCAAGATCAGTAAAGGGAGACCTGGGAAAACAGGAAACATGAGCTAATATGCTACAGATTTAGGACGGAAAACCAGTCACACGGTGCCAAAACCCACAAAAATCGCTGAGAGGGCACTGTAGGCGGTGCTTGGGTAAACCAATAGGCACAGATTTAAACACGTAGGCAAGAAAAATAAGGATCACTGCCTACTCCGCAATACGCTTTCTTCTCTTGGCTTGCAGGATGCTGTGTTCTCATTTCCCCCAATTTCTCTGTCTGCTACATTTTAGTCTTCTTTGCTAGTAGAGGAAGAACCTCTTCTCTCTGACCCTTTCGTGCTCCAGTGCCTCAAGTCTCAGTCCTCGAGCCTGTTCTTTCTTTTAAGGACACTGATTCCCTTGGGAGCACAGAAGACCATGCTTTCAGTCCGGGTGATGCGCTGCTGATCTCGGACCACTCTCACAAGCTGCACATGCTGTGACCTTGGACATGAAATCAGCATCTCCACACCACATGCCCGAATCCAAATGCCTGGTTCTCCCACCCACCTGCTCTATGCTCAGCCTCCTCTATTTCCTCCCTCACATTCATTAAGCAAAACATCCTGGAACCTCTTTATCTTTATTCTTGCTTTTATGGCCCACATCCAATGCAGTAGCACATCCTGCAAGCTGTATTTTCAAACCTATGCCGAATCCAAATGCTTTTTCCTACCTGCCTGCTGTCACCTGGTCCAAGTCTTTTATCTCTCACCTGGTTTCTGCTTAGCCTCTTAATAGTTTTGCCCTCTCCACCTTTGCCCCTTGGCAGCCCCGAGGATCCTTTCAAAACCCTCAGACCACTCTTCTGCTCAGAATCCTCCGCCGGCTCCCCATTCACACAAAGGAAAAGCCAGTGGCTTACAAGGACAGCCCCTCCCTTGTGTATCTGTCATCATCTCAGTTACTCTCCTCCTGAGCACCCCACACTGGGCCATGCTGGGCCCTGCCTATTCCTGAATTGTGGGCCAAGCTCCACCTTCGGCAACCTATGCTATAGCTGTTCCCGCTTCCTGGGTGCTATTGTCTGCATGGTTAACTCCCTTACCTCCTTTTCGTGCCTGAAATGCCACCTCTGGTGGAGGGTGACCTTCAGTGCCTTATTCACTGCAGTGATATAGCAAGACAACGGGAGACACACACATGCACTGCCAGTGTTTATTCTGTTCCATTTCTATTCTATGCCATTTGTCTTCTTCTAAGAAATGTGTTCATGTATTTACCTCTTTCTTATCTATTCACTTTCTTCCCCTCCCCTTTATTTCCCCTCCTACAATGCAAAATAATGTCTTTGAGGGTGATAATTTTTCTCCTATTCTTTGACCTACCCCCTGCCTACAGATGCATGTAATGTGTCCAGCAAATCAATAAGCAATGTCCTCCTGAAATTTACAACCCAGGGGTTTTGGTATAATCTAACATTTTATAGCTGATTAGTATAAGAGCTAACTAAATCTTAAACTCAGATATTCATAAATCTTCCTATAACCTTACTCCAACTTCCCAGACAAAGACAAACCCTAACTCAAACCCTTGAAGCACAAATATTATTTGTAAAGCTTTTCTAACTTACTGAAAATAAGGCAAAGTACGTTAACAAAGCAATTGGTACTAGCACAGCTAAACTTTTTCATGCTTTTGCTTTGTGCCCCAGAATCATTGCTTTTTAGACCTCTACTTTTTCTTTACTATCATTAGCAACACTAGCAGATGATTTTCTTTTATAACCCATTTTACACACACAAGAAAAAGTTTTTTATCACTTCAGGAGAGCCAGTGCGCATGATAATGAGTGTGGAACAACACTATGGAGTTTAAATTCAGAGGCTGTGGTGGGGCCCCTCCCTGCTTGTTAGCCATTCCAGCCAGCGCTGTTGCAGAGCCCGCAACTAAATTCATTCCTCAGCAAAATTGCAAATTGCTGTATGTTATGTTGCTTGAGAAAGAGTCAAAACTACAAATGTTTGAACCTCAAATTCCAATAATCTATTGTAAGTGGAACTCAGTCATTACAAGACACATCATGAAGCCGGGGTAACACAGAGCTGGAAAAGAAAAAAATATAGAAATCCAAAGAGCTAGAAGCTGAATATTTAGAATGAGTTTTCTCTGCTTTGGGCAACTCTCTACGCTTCCAGCTGGTGGCAGTAGGAAGGTATCAGAAACAATGAAAACCACCAAAGTAAAATTTTTAAATGTTACAGCTATGACCCTTATCAGCATAAAATGTGTCTGAATTTACATAACTCATTAATGAGGAAACCAGCAGGATGACAAGGAGGTTCAAGGAGCATTTGGAGAACTGAAGAGCTACAGAAACTAAACGAAGAATGTTGGAATGAGATTGCTAGGTTAGATACAGAACTGGTCGACAGTCTACAAAGCAATTGAAGCATCGTCTTTGAGGCTGTGCTTTCCACTAGACAGTCACCATTTGCATCTGTACCAGAGAAAACACTTATGTATGAACTTGTAGCTTCACAGACTGTCCTCTAAACAAAAGCATACACCCCAAAAGAATGAAGTAACTCTTAGGTGACCTGTTAGGCAATACTGCAGTTTGACCAGAAAGGACACACGACAATCTCTCTGCCAGATTTCCAATTTTTGATGGCACTTTTCTAACCGAACTAGGTGGAAAACCTTCTCTTTGAGAGCATCCTTTAGACAAATACTTTATTCTATTCTATTTGAAGTCTGTCTGGCCTTCTTTGAAAAAGAAATCCCTCCTGATTCTAAAACGATACTTTCATAGGGTAGCCTACTTTGGTAATAGAGTATTTTTGCTTGGATAACACATTTCTCATGTAAAACAAGAATATAATTAATCAATTAATGAATTACTCTCACATTCATATTCCACTCTGATTTGTAAATTCTTTGAATTCACAGCATTCATCAACTGTGCTTTTCAAAAAAGAAAAGCACCTTGGGCCAGGGATTTAGCTCAATGGTTCTGCTGCCTGCCTCACAAGCACAGGATCCCGAGTTCAATCCCCAGTACCACAAAAAAGAAAGAAAGAAAGAACCTTAGTGAGGAATTTTGGAGTGAAATGGCATCTGGGAAGGTTACACAGTTTTCCCAAGATCGCTTTTTGAGTCTAAAAGTGAGCTCAGAGAGTAACTGAAGTTAAAACAGGAAACACCCAGGGCTGTGACAGCCATGGAAATCCCAGCTTCCTGGGATGGTCTATGTATCACTTTGATCTCATAACCTTGAAGAGATGCTGCTGGGCCAGAAGGAGGCTGGACAGCTTGGAGTGCAGGTTTAAGGAGCATTTCCAGCATGGGGAGAAAAGGTGACATCTTTTCCTCACTCGTTGTGAGGTGCAGGGCTGACACTTCTGTAACAGAAGACACATTAACAAGAGAAAAGCATGAGAAACTCATTTACTATAAACTCTATGTGACATGGCAGCCTTCAGAAATTAAGACCCAAATACTCAGGGAAAATTATGTGTCTTTGTGCTTCGGTGCAATGAAGAGTGGACAGTTGTGGAGCCGAGTGACCAGAAGAAAGGAGAAGGACTCTAACCGTGCTGCACTGGGGCTTAGCAAGGTCTGTTTGCTGCGATTCTTCCTGACCTCCATGTCTTCATTCCTCCACTCTAGGCATAGGACAGGGCACCTGTCACAGGAGTGTCTCTCAGAGGGACAGCGGGTGACTTTCCTGCTTCTGTGGGGGCTCTTTTCTTCATTTCCTTTTAGACTAAAACACTAAGTATGTCAAGATGCCATATTTGGGGATATTGTCTTTTGATCCCCGAGAGTAATTTTCTCGAATAAGAAGTATAACAAAAGAAATATGTTAATTCAACCACAGTGAAAAAGAAAGAGGAGGAAGCTAGAGATGAAAAATTAGATACAATCTTATTTAAATTAGCTACATTAAGATTATCTTCTATTGCTTTATTCTTTTCTGATTTTTTCCTTCAAGTTTGTCTCCCAAAAAGAAAGTTGCCTCCTTGAGAAAAGCACTTTAATATTATAAAATAAGGCTGTATTGTTAAAATCATCCAGTTTCAGAGGAGATGGAGTATATTATGAAATTAAAAAAAAGGACTTTGAGTACTGAACAACTTCTGACAGCAGATTAGAATGCATGTCATTTTTCATCTTTTTAATTCTTCTAATCTACAAACTGAATTTTGAATACATGATGAGGTGATAGTGTTTAGAGAGAGTTCTGCTACTTATTTTAATGTATTTATGTCAGTCATAGTAATTGTGCTTGGGCGATAGCATTCTCTCATCACCAATTTGTGGATTATTGATTCTTCTTTTATCAAAATATATAAGATTATTCTCTTAAAACTGGTGATTCAAAGTTGGAACTTAAAGTTGGGTGAATGCTCAAAACTGGATACTAATTGACACCTTGATTTTTCAATCTTTAGGGTCTGAATCACAGACTTCACACAATTTTAAATTAATTTAAATTAACCTTAATTTAAAATATATGTGCCTGCCATGTGGCACTTTTATATTGATAGAGACAGAGAAAAGTTGTCAGAAAAAAACAGGCTAAAGCAAATGAGAATGTCAAAATTTTGAAAAGTACAGTAGTTTAACATCAAGAATACATTTTTTCAGGTATATCTCAAGATTTAACTCCACTCTGTCCTGTAAATTACCTGAAAATTTAACAACAGGCTTAATACTTCTAGGCTAAATTCTAAGTTGGTGCTAAACCTAAAATATTCAAATATATTGTTTATCAAAATAGTCTAAACATGTAATTCCGAATACTAAGTAAAAAACATTTGAAATGGAAACTGATGATTCCTATTTAGCTCTCTTTTCCACAAGGTTGTTAAAAAAATGGTCACCTTTGAAAATATATGAGCAGATTCGAATACTGAACAGAGGCTGTAATAAAATTTGGACAGCTTAAAGTGTATTTCCTCACAGTTTTCTTGGCACATCCAAATGATCCTATTTCCTCCTTCTCCTTGGCTGAATGTAAACTAAGAAAAGCATTATTGGTTT